CACCGATCCTGGGTCAAGGATGGGCCTTGCCAGGATCGGTGCATGTGCATAGTTCTCTTCGCCCGAAACATGGAAGCCTCCTGATCGGCTTGGGGTGGCTTGGTGGGTGGTGGGCAGCAGGCACGGCCCGCGCAGGCCCGCAGTTGAGGGCGAAAAAACCCAGCTCGAGCCGGCACGGGCGAGTCTGCACCGCAACTGGTGGGCGTGTTTTCCACCACCACTACCATAAGTGGGAGGGGGAGGGGGTCCTCCTCCTCCTCCTCCTCCTCCTCGTCCTCCTCCTCATCCTTTACGGCAAGTTCGCGTCGTGTCGACCCCGGCGTTGGTTTCTGACACCGCGGGGATCGTTCAACCTTGAACGATCGGCCGTCTCCGCAACGTCCAATCGTTCAACATCGACCGATTCTGGGCCGCCGGCGGCGTTCAACCTTGAACGCCCGCGCTGGGGTCGCCGCTGGTCGACACGACGCAAACCTACCGTACCTCCTTCCCCCCTCCAACTTATGGTGGTGGTGGTGGAAAACAGGCCCATGAGCAACGTCACGGCATCTGCGTGCGCCCGCTGCCGGACCAGAGCAGGGCGTGCTCCAGCCAATGGCAGCAGGCACCCGCGCGGGCTCGCCGAGACTCGCGCCGGCGGGTCGCGAGGCCGACGTGGGCCATGCCAGGCCCGCCCCATCCGCACAGGTTGCCTCGGCCTGGCTCCGACAGCTGCATCGCCGAGAGCCGCAAACGCAGAGGACTCGTGGGCGACAGATGTGACAGAGCCGCGCCGCCCGCGCCGAGCAGCTTGTCTTGGTGCGGGAGGGCATCTCTGTGGGCAGGGTCGAGCAACGATCCGAACAGTCGACCCTGGTGGCGCGGGCGGGGCGAACGCAGCCAGCAGACCGTGGCACAATATGCAAAGCAGCCCAAGTAGTCTCGATAGGAACCTCCTCACCCGTACTCCTGTGAAGAACCAGTCCTCGAGGATCTGAGCGGCCCCTCGCGTGCCGCGTCGCCACAGCTGCAGCTGCTGGCGGTCAAGCTCGAGGAGACCGAACGTCGAACCAACGATGGTGCGGACGATTGCCCGAGCCCTGGCGCGACAGCGCATACCGTCCACAAGGATGGTGGTTCCTGGCCGTGGTTGTGCGTGGGAGGCGGGGAGACCTACAGCAATGTAACTGGCGGCGATCGTCTTCTTTCACAACGACCACTGGATCTGGCCTGCCGGGATGTCGAGGCATGGCAGTCGTCGGACATAGATGGTGCAATGACAAGAACAACAAGCACCTGCAATACATGTGAAGTATGAAATGCACCTCACGAACGAGGGTTCTTGTACTATGTTCCACCGTGTTTTTGCCGACGTGAGCTCCCGCTGCAAAGCTGGAATGAACTCACGAGGAAACTACCGCTGAACGGTCTGGAAATACCTGGCCACGGTTTCTCAGTGCGCGAGCAAGGCATCCACTACTGATTATGTGCTGCCTCCCCCCTCCCCACCCACCCCCCTCTGCGCGTGGCTGAAAAGGTGCCCCTGGCCCAAGGTGACCCCCAGCTTTTCGCGCCGTTCTGGGGCCCCTGGGGCCCTCTGGGCCGTGGGGGCCTCCTTGGAACTCCTGGGGGCACCTTGGGCCAGGGGCACTTCTAGCAACACCCGACCGAAGGCGACCTACGTCGGGGCTGAAAGCGGCCGCGCCGACGGGGCCCGCGCCTCCTCGCGCGGAATTGGGGGGCCGGTGGCGGCCGGCGTTTCTGCGCGGCGGCCGGGGCGGTGCTGCGGCGGCGGTGCTGCGCGCCGCGGGCGGGGGGCGGTCGGCACCGCGTGTGCGGGTGCTGCTACGACGGCGACGACGGAGACGCCGACGACGACGACGTCGGCGGCGACGACGACGCCGGCGGCGACGACGACGGCAACGGCGACGCCGACGACGACGAAGACGTCGGCGACGACGACGCCGGCGGCGACGACGATGTCGACGGCGACGGCGACGGCGACGGCGACGACGACGACGACTCCGACGGCGACTCCGACTCCGACTCCGACGACGGCGACGGCGACGGCGACGGCGACGGCGACGCCGACGACGCAGACGACGACGACGCCGACGCCGGCCAGGACCACTTCTAGTAGCACCCAAAAGGTCGGGAGGGAAGGGACCGAACCGGAGCGTGCGTCGGCTCGGGCCGCACCGGCACTGAGGCGCAACCGACTCGCATCGGCTGCGCCATGCAAACGTCGAGCCACATCGAATCGCCAGAAGATCGGATCGATTCGGATCGACAGGACAGAACAGGAGACTGCGTGCCAGCTCCCCGAGGAGCGGTCTCCTAGAGGGCAGGCGGTTCAGATGTACAGCTGCAGCGAGTACACGTTCACGGCGAGTGGAAAAACAGAGAACCACCACCTTATCATTCACGAAAGGCGTTACCCGAACCGCGGCGGCTCTTCGGGGCGGCCTTGGCGGCCCTCGGCGGCTCTCGGAGGCCCTCGGCAGCCCTCGGGCGGCCCGCGCCTTCGGACGGCCTTTTGAGGCATCCAGAGAAGTTGTCGACGCCGTCGTCGGCGGTTGTCTTCGACGCCGCTCATCGTCGTCATCGTCATCATCATGGTCGTCCTCCTCCTCCTCCTCCTCCTCCTCCTTTCCTCCTCTGCTCCTGATCCCTACTCCTCCCCCGCCTCCTCCTCCTCCTACTCCTCCTCCTCCTCCTCCTCCTCCTCCTCCACTTCAGCTTCCTTCTTCTCCTCCCCCTCCTCCCCCCTCCCTCCCCGCAGCCTCTCTTCGGGGGCAGGAGGGAGGATGGAGAGGGAGGGGCGGCTGGAAGAGGAGGCACGGGCGAAGAGGGAGACGGGGAGGAAGCGGAGGGGGCATGCGGAGGGTGTGGGAGGAGGCGGGCGCTGTCTTCTCCCTTCCCCCCCCCCCTCGGCTCCCTATGCCCTCCCCTCGCCCTGCCCCCCCTTGCCATCGCTCGGCCCGCCGCTCCCCGTGCACTCCTCGGCTTCGTGCGCTCCTCAAGGATCCGCGAGGCTCCTCGATGGTCCTCGCCGAAGGAAAAACAAACACCACACACACAACACACACCCACAACACACACACACACACGCACGCACCCGCACGCACACGCACACGCACACGCACACGCACACGCACACGCACACGCACACGCACACGCACACGCACACGCACACGCACACGCACGCACACGCACACGCACACGCAGGCACACGCACGCGCACGCACGGACACGCACACGCACGCACGCGCACACACGCGCACACACGCGCACACACACACACACACACGCACACACACACGCACACACACACACTCACACACTCACACACTCACACATTCACACATTCACACATTCACACATTCACACATTCACACATTCACACATTCACACATTCACACATTCACACATTCACACATTCACACATTCACACATTCACACATTCACACATTCACACATTCACACATTCACACATTCACACATTCACACATTCACACATTCACACATTCACACATTCACACATTCACACATTCACACATTCACACATTCGCACATTCGCACATTCGCACATTCACACATTCACACATTCACACATTCACACATTCACACATACACATTCACACATTCACACATCACACATTCACACATTCACACAATTCACAATTCACACATTCGCACATTCACATTCACACTTCGCACACATTCACCACATTCACACACATTCACACATTCACACATTCACACATTCACACATTCACACATTCACACATTCACACATTCACACATTCACACATTCACACATTCACACATTCACACATTCACACATTCACACATTCACACATTCACACATTCACACATTCACACATTCACATTCACACATTCACACATTCACACATTCACACATTCACACATTCACACATTCACACATTCACACATTCTCACATTCACACATTCACCATTCACACATTCACACATTCACACATTCACACATTCACACATTCACACATTCACACATTCACACATTCACACATTCACACATTCACACATTCACACATTCACACATTCACACATTCACACATTCACACATTCACACCTTCACACATTCACAAATTCACACATTCTCACATTCACACATTCACACATTCACACATTCACACATTCACACATTCACACATTCACACATTCACACATTCACACATTCACACATTCACACATTCACACATTCACACATTCACACATTCACACATTCACACACTCACACACTCACACACTCACACACTCACACACTCACACACTCACACACTCACACACACACACTCGCAGACACTCGCAGACACTCGCAGACACGCGCAGACACGCGCACACACGCGCACACGCACACGCGCACACGCGCGCACACGCACGCACACACGCACACACGCACACGCGCACACGCGCACACGCACGCACACGCGCACACGCACGCACGCGCACACGCACACACGCACACACGCACACACGCACACACGCGCGCACACGCGCACACGCGCACACGCGCACACGCGCACACGCACGCAAACGCACGCAAACGCACGCACACGCACGCACACGCACGCACACGCACGCACACGCACGCACACGCACGCACACGCACGCACACGCACGCACACGCACGCACACGCACGCACACGCACGCACGCACGGACACGCACACGCGCGCACACGCGCGCACACGCGCGCACACGCGCGCACACGCGCGCACACGCGCACGCGCACGCGCACGCGCACGCGCACGCGCACGCGCACGCGCACGCGTACGCGCACGCACACACACACACACACACACACACGCACACACACACACACGCACACACACACACACGCACACGCCCGCCCGCCATCCCGAGCGATGCCAGGCCCCTCGTCTTTGTCCCCGTCATGCCCCCCGCCCGATCCCTGCCATGCCTCCCCCCCTGCGCGGGGCCCTCCTGCCACCGGACCCCCTGCTTTTCCTTTGGTGC